CTCCGCGCTGGCACGGGTCTGCTCACCGCTAGCGACTCCAGCGCAGACTGCTTGGAGTAGATGCGAAACCTGCAGGGGAGAAAGCAGCCGTGAGTGGGGCGCAGAGGGGACCTTCCCCGCAGCCTCCACGGGACCCCAGCACAGGCCGTACCGTCGCAGGTCCAGCTGCACGCGCAGCGCCTTTCCTTGCAGAAACACCTTGGCGCTCAGCTTTGTTTCCTAGGGAGAGAGAAGGCTGAATCACAGCCCTGCTGTGCCCACTGCAAGCAGGTAGCTAGCCAGGCTGGCTGCTCCTCTTGTTCCATAGGCCCAGCTGTCCCTCTGCTCTGGGACGCCAGAGCCTTCCCCTGTGAGGTGGGAAACGCTCTTCCCCTGTGCGCTGGGGTAGCTGCACAGGGAGCCCTGGCCACGTGCACCCCTCCTGGCCAGCCCCCCACTCACCATGGCCATGCTGGAGAGCTGGACGGGGGGGCGGCCCGGGGCCACCAGTGAGATGTTGAGGAAGGCAGAGACAGAGACGGAGGTGCCTGAGGGTTTGATGATGCAGCGGGGGGGAGCCGACACCTGCAGCACCAGCCGCAGGGGAGCGTCCACAGCAGGACTCTGGGGAGGGCAGGTGAGCCGGAGGCACAGAGCTGGGCAGGGCTGTGCTCTGCCCCAGGGGCTCCCCTGTGCCTCCCGCCCCGGCCAGGTGCTTCTCTCACCAGCATGAAGATGGTCCCGAAGAAGGTGGCTCTCAGCAAAACCTCTAGGTCCTTGGGCACCTGCAGGGAGGACAAACCACCGGACGATAAGCGAACAGTTGCTGTTGATCCCAGCAGAGCTGCTCCCTGGATGGCACCTCCTCTGTTCTGTGGGCAGAGCCCAGCCCTCCCTCCTGCCTGGCAGCAGGCCCCTGCCCACAGAGAGCTGCCTGTGCATAGCCGGGTGACTGGCACTGCCTACCTTCTCCCCCTGGAGCTCTATGGCCAGCACACCCGCTTGGAAGTACGCGTGCATGGCCGAGTCAAAGAAGTACTCGGAGAAGGCGACGTAGACCATGCGCTCGGTCTCCTTGATCACCGGCTCCACCGCGTGGTTCTCCAGCTCCTGGTTCTCTCTTGCACGGGGGAAGAACGTGCCCTGGGCCAAGAACAGGAGACGTTTCTGCAGCCGTAGCGCAGCCCACCCTGCTCGCTCTGTGGTGCCCAGCATGCAGGCTGGCACAGCTGTTCCCATGTGGACTGTGGGAGGGTCGGCAGGGCAGGATCCAGTGTTCACCTTGAAGTCTAGGTCAAGGGTGTCCATGGAGACAGCCGGATCCCGCAGGAGGGAGTAGTCAATCCCGATGTGCTCATCCACATAGTTCCTCACTGCCAGGGAAGATGTGCTGTCATGACCAAGCTTGTGGGCTGCCTGGCAGCCCGATGCCCAGCTCTGCCCTCCCCACAGTGCGTGGGGTCCGGTCCCTTCCCCCAGGGCACCACTCACCCGGCACCGTGTCCAGCACCGAGTTCAGCAGCACCAGGCTGGCATGCTCCAGGGATGGGCAGATCTGAAAGGCAAGGGGCTGAGCTAAGAGGAGGATTGCTCCAGGTGCAGATGAGGACCTGGACCCTCCCCTCCTGCTGTGGGGCAGGGCAAGGCCAGGCTCCCCTGTGCTCCATTGCCTGTCGTACCTGCTGGCTGAGGAGGAAGCGCATCCCTGTGACAATGAAGGTGCTCAGGAACTCGTAGACCTTCCTGCAGGACACAAGAGCAGCTCTGTGGCTGCCTGCCTTCCCCTGCAGCTCCAGCCCTGCCCCTCCAGCCCCATGCCAGCACACAGCCTGGGCTGGGGAAGTCCCGAGGGTGCAGAAAGGGGGGCCAAGGAGCCAGGCACAGGTGGAGCTGGCCCGGCGGAGGGACAGGGCTGCTGCGGTGGGGTTGGGTGTACCTGAGCGTGCCGGAGAAGCCTGCATGCATTCTGGCAATGGAGGCGTTGCAGGTGATGTTAGAGATCTTCAGGCGCCCAGCATCATCCTTGGCCAGCTGCAGCACTGTGTGGATGTGGACACCATCCGCAGAGGCATTGATGGACCCGATGTCATAGCTGGAAGCGAGGAGAGCAGATGAGAGGAGCACACAGCTCCTACCAGCTGCAGGGCAGGACAGCAAGGCACCCAGCGGGCATGGCCAAGCAGTGGCTGTGGCCCAGCCGTGGGGTAGGCTGGTGCCTGGGGGAGCAGGAGGGGGAGGTAGCTCACAAGAACCAGTAGAGCAGCTGTCTCCGGAAGCGCATGCTGATGGAGGCATTGTTGATGTTGAAGACAAGGTGCTGCTGAGGCTGGAAGTGCAGGTCGGAAAATGCCAGCTGCAGGTCTTCCACCTTGACCCTGCAGGGGAAGGGATATAGATGGTTGGATGGACAGATGGACATGGGGAGCCGTGTGCGTGGGGAGCAGGCAGCACTCACTGGCTGATGTTGTAGTGGAACTGCCCCTCCTTCCCGTGCAGGTCTGACACCGTGATGTTCTGTAGCTCCTGCTCCACGAAGCGCAGCCCCTCCTGCTTAACTGCAAAGCAAAGCAAGCCTGGGCTGGCCACAGCCAGGCTGTGCTGCCCTCCCAGCAGCATCGCCCCCCCCCAGCCAGTCCCCCAGCTCCTCTCCAGCCGCCCCACGTGCAGGCAGAGCCTTACCCAGGTGCAGACCCCAGGAGCAGCATCCCAACCTGCCTCTTACCCAGGCCCCAGGAGCAGGGTCCCATCCAGCCCCTTACCCAGGTCCAGCCCCTTGGAGGTAATCCGGATCTTGCAGCCAGGTGGGCTGTGCGAGGCCATGACCAGCCAGGGCAGGAGGAGGAGGAGGAGGTGGCTGCCGGCAGCCATCTCACACCTGGAGGCAGAGAGCAGGGTCAGCACGGGCTGGCCCAGTGGGGCACACGGGGGATACCCGGCCACCCTGGGAGATGGCTGCTGCCCAATCTGCTCGCAGCCCCAGAGCAGGGGATGGCCCCGAGGAACGCCCCAAGGCTCTGCTGCTCCCCCCCAATCCCCCTCGAGTTCTGCCCAGGTCCCCATTGCCTGAACCCCCATGGACCAGCAGCCCACGAGTGGCACAGCCCCCACCCTAGGGTGCTGCGCACAAGCCCCCAGCACAGACCCTGCGAGGCCCGCAGGGTCTCACGTCCCCTGGGAACGCTCGCCCCAGAGGGCTCCTGCTGGCCCCAGCCGCGCCCCACCCTGCCCTGAACACTCCCAGCTCCCAAAACTGCACGGCGAGGTGCAAGCCCAGCATGTGCTGCTGCAGCAGGGAACACCAGCACCCCACAGAGAAGGGAGCCCTCTCCTGTGGGGCCACCCCACAGCCCTCCCAGCCCCGCGGGGCAGTCCTGGCTGCCCTCCCCCCATGGAGATGCGCTGCCTGTCCACACGCTAGGCTGAGGAGGGAGCCGGAGCCTGTCCATCCAGCAGCAACAGGCAGAGCTCCCTGCAAGACTGTGGGGACAGTCCAGGGCTTCCCCCCACAGCATTCTCCCCCAGTTCTCTGCACGGGAGAGGACAGGGGACCCTCCTGTCCAGGGCCCGGAGCTGCCATCCTTCCCCGAGGCTGTGCAC